TAGCCAAGAACGAGGAATCTACACAATTTGCCACCGTCTCAGCCATGCAGCAGATCGTCTCGCTCGCCATCCCAAAACTCATCCCAAAGGCATATCGGACCGGCATGACCAACAATGCCCAGAGAAAACTAGTACAGTTCAGTGTGACGAAGTATATCAAGGGGAAGACGTTAGAAGACGTGTGGGAGCAGATGAGTGACGAAAATCAACGGTCCGTTATGGCTGCTCTCATCGAGGCACTACAGAAACTGCATTCTGTTCGGATTCCCGACTCTCTAGACCGAATTCGGGACATCTGGGCCAAGTGCGAGTTACCTCTAGCACCGGGCGGCCTGGGGGAGCACATTCTGGGGGAAACAGAGTTCATGGGCGGGCCGAGCACGGGATTCTTCGCTCCCAAGGACGGACCAGCTCTTCTCAGCGCCATCGCCAAGAGGTGGGAGCTGAGTGGACGACCCTTCTACGCCACGGTCGCCACGGAGTCTGGTGGTGTAGTCTTACAGTCGGAATACTCAGACCTCGGCTTCGTGAAGGTTGAGAAGAGCTGCTGGGAGGAATGGTACCGAGAGGCTGTTCTCTGCCACAACGACCTCAACCCCCGCAACATCATCGTCAGCAGTCTGTCCGACTCTGAGTCTACCTCTGCCTATCAATCTGACTCTGCTAACGAAACTTCCGACTACGAGCTCTCCGCCATCATAGACTGGGAGCTCTCTGGCTTCTACCCCCCATCCTACGAACTCAGCCTCCAAGATACCTACCTCAGCGGGGCCAACCGCCTATTCTCCTTCTACTCGCTCCTAAAGAGCCATTTGAAGGAAATTGTGCCCCGTTCCCCATCACAAGTCGCCTTGCTGCAGGTCATGCAGCTTCTCTTCGAATCTAGACAGAGGCGACTGAGGGAAGGCAATAACATCCCGGCAATCATCCGCGAGAGATTCATGAAGAGATTGCAGCTACGGCGGGATGAGGATTCGTACCTTGGCTGGGTACCGAACGATGATGAAGCAGCGCGGCTCGTGCTTTCTCTTGCCGACGTGAAGAGTCTGGAAGACGACGTTATTGCTGAGACGAATGCGAGAAGGCAGACGAAGCGCCGCGAAAGTAGCTCGGTAACATAGTAGACTAAGGACTCAGGAAAGTTTCATAGGTCGAAGAATACACATTGGATATATGCAGCCCCATAAACAGAACTCTTCTGAATGGCAACTGAGACCAGAAGCTTTTTTAGCTCCTAATGTAAGCTTTTGGGGGGGGGGGGGGTTCTTTTCTAATTGATTTGGGCCGGATGCTTAGCTACCTTACTTAGAGTTACTGCAGTGACCCCCTTTTCGATAGGTTAGCTGTTCATCACTCACACTGCTTGTTTTAGAATATGGCGCCCACGGCAGTATCCATATGATTTTGGGAGAGGATATTCTGCCAGTAGCTCCTACTATTCTACTACTAAGTATAGCTACGGCCGCTACACGACCGCTAGTCTCGGGTATATATATAAGCTAGGCTCTATATAATTAGTATTTAAATAGATTAGACTAATTAGAGGCCGTTAATTAACTTATAGTTAATTAAATTATTTTAGTAAAAAGTACGGTAATTAACGAATTGGTCTAATTTAACGTAATTAATAAAGTAGCCTAATTAACTACTTAATTAACTACCTAATTAACTATTAATTACTCCATATAGTTTATAGCTTATAATTTAGTAACTTTTTTTACTTTAGCCTCGTACTCTATTTTAGCCTCGTATTTATTAATAAATTTATTTATTTTGCTTTTTATTATAAAATTAATATTATAAATATAATCCTCGTTAGTTAGATCTTATAATACGTCTAATTATATAAAATTACTAGTTAATTAGGATTATAACTTTATAAGCGTTAGTAGCTAAGGAGCCCCTATAAAATTAATTATATTATTATTAATTACGTTAATTACTTTATTAATAATAGCCCGCTAGTATTTTTACTATATCTCTATACTAGGTTCGTATATATTAGAATTATATATAATTTCGAGGCCTTGTTAAGTAGAAGTAGCCCTACTTAGTACTAAAAGTACTATTAATAATAGTAGCGCTAATATAAGTACTATTTCTATACGTTTAATAGCTTTTTTATACTTAAATATAAAGGGCTCTTATTTAGAGGAGGTATTTTAATTAATAACTAGCTTTTTTAATTTACTTATTATAATTATTATAATACTTATTATAGAGCCTTATAAATAACCCTTACCTCGGACTTATAAAGAATTAAATAGGGGGATAGAAGTACTATTATTAATAATAAGCTCTAAGCGTCGTTAGAACTAATATAAATAGATCTTTTTTAATAATATTAGGGTACCGTCTTTAATATATTACTAGAGGATATAGTAGTAAAATAGCTTATAAATAGTTTAAATTAAGTAGTATATATACTCTTTTAATAGCTTTTTTAATAAACCTAAATTTAGCTATTTACTTAGCGTACTAAGTTTTTATAAAAGTTATTTAAGAGTATTATAGTATATATATAAACGTACCTTTTTTTAGAGTAATTTTACAATAGTATTTAATACCTTAGCTTAGTAACGGGTTTAATAAGTACTAATTATAGCTACTTAACTTACTTAAAAAATAACTAATTTATTAAATATGGCTTTAAAGTTACCCGTATAATAATAAACTTATACTTTAATACTCGTATATAAGGATTTAATAATTAACGTAATTAAGTAATTAAAGTACTTAATTTAGTTAACCTAAGTAAGTACGAGTTTTTTATACTACGGCTTAAGCTAAGTATTAATAACGTAATTAACTACTACTATAGGGTACTTAGTAATTTAAAATTCGAATAATTAGTCGTAGTATATAGTTATTAATTAGTTACGGAAGAGATTATTCTAATTTATAAAGAATTACTAAAAATAAGGGTTATATATAATTATATTAGTCTCGTCCCTCGTAGCCGGGCCGAAGTAATACCGGGTCTGGGCTAGTATGTTAAAGTTAACGTACTAATAGTAAAGTACGTATAGTACTATTTTAAATTAGGTATTATTATTAAGAATATTAAGTAGAGTAATTTTACGATCCGTATACGTAACTTATAAAAAGGGAATTTTATAGGCCTAGAATAATATTAATAGCTAGTTAATAGCTTAACTATAATTAACTTCCTTCTTACTAAATAAAAAGTAGCTTATAACTTAGAAAGTATAATTATTGTTAGTTACTCCGTAAATATTAAATAATAGTATATTAAATCGGTTAGTTTTATATATAGAATTTATTAATAAAATATCTAAATATTATTAAAATAAGGAAATTGCGGTAGTAAGTATAATAAATAAACTCGTAATATAGCCCGCGTCGTTACGTTAGAAGCGGTACTAGTACTTTATTAAATTACGTAATTAGTTAAATAACTACTTAATAAGGGTCCTATTACTTAATTCGTTATAATAATAAGTAGTTAATATATTAAGTATATTATAAGTAATAATACTACTATAATCGCTATTTTCTAACTATAAGCTTAAAAAGATTTAAATAAGTCGAATACCCTTATTTTATTAATTAACGATTTAGTCCTTTTTATTATATAATAACGCGCGGCGGTAATACGTAAAAGCGTTAGTATTATTAAATAAGTAATTATAATAGTTATAGAAGTTATTAATAATAGGACAAAAGAGCTAATTACTACTTAAAAAGTTAGTAGCGATTTACTAATAATAGTTTATAAACGAGGTCGAGGATTTATAATACTTATTTAAATAGGTTAACTTTATAAGGCGTTACCGCTTTTAATTACGACGTGGGCTACGAGTATAATAATAAGTAACGGTAGTTAGTATCTTAGTAGAGGGTTTATATTAAATAATTCGGACTACGAAGCTAGCTTTATAAGTAGCCTCGTTAAGTACTATTTTAGCCTTAAATAGGCTAGAAAAGCGCTAATTATAAAATAAGTAATTATATTCTACGTAACCGTAATTATTATAATTAATAGTATATTAGTAAATAAAGGGATCGTTAACTTTATAATTATTCTCTTTTTATAGTATATTAATATTAGGAATAGCTTTAATTAACGGCGGTAGTAACGGCGAGGTTAACGAAGTAGTGGTTATAAGTAGGTAAGTAGGTGGGTAGGTAGGTAGGTAAGTAGGTAGGTAGGTAGGTAAGTAGGTAAGTATGGGTAGCTGGGCTCCGTGGTCGGAGGTAGGGCCTGCCGTAGCCACACTTGGTGGCAGAATAGCAGGAGCTGCTGGCAGAATATCCTCGCCCATGATTTTTAGATTTATACCTTTTGGAAGTGCAGGCTCCTGCAACAATGGCATCTTGTGCACGTTCATCATCTTGTTAAATCTATCATGTGGACAAAGCAGAATGACGGAGACCCATCGCAACTCAGGAGTCAATGAAGTCATGCATCCTCTAGCAGCTTTCTTCGCTGGTTACCACGTAACGGACCAGAAAATGCGCCGTGCAGCTCAATCGAATGTACTGCTCTGTCTACAGTATCAGGAACTGTGTCATTGGATCGCCACCGGTTTTGTCGGCCTGTGACGAGGTTTTGTTGATTGCAGTATCTAGATGCTTATTCGGGCCTCTTGGCAATTATATGCTGACTTTGGTGGTCGAAGAATTCCGAAGACTAAGAACTTGAAGGCTAATGCCGTCTCGATTGATAGGTTAAGTTGAGAAAGGGGGGTGCCTCTAGTAATAATTCGTCGATGGTGGATAATTGAAAGGTTATGCCCTATCTTACTTAGACCTTTATCGCCGCTAATGGAAAGTCTACATATAATTAATATACACTAAATTTTCTTAACGATACCTACGGGCTTTAGCCTATTACCCCTACTTATCCTAGAGGATTTTCAGATCTTGAACACTAGTATCGGTCATTACTTTTGAATAAAATTCCTAAAAATCTTCAACAGGAGACGGCTCCCCCGCTTCTCTTGTTATGTATTTGATCGAAATGTTTAGATGATCTGTCAAACGGAATTGCTGGAAACACTAAACCAGGAATGCCCACCAGCTCCCTCGGCGTCCAATCTACGTTCCTGCTCCTCACAGAGAAGACATTGCAAGAAATTGATATCCAGGGTAGTCACATCATCCCGCTCGTGTCTCATGGATCCGAGTAACTCAACCTTGGTCCCACGATTCTGCCTGACATCATTCAGATTCGTGAATAGTCGTCTGCCCATCAGCATTCTGTACACGATGCAGCCCAGAGACCACATATCCACTTTTGACGAGTAGGTCTGGAGCGGTGAAGCTCCGGCCTCGATGATTTCGGGGGCCGAGTAACCCCATGTCTCGGGTGCGTCGCTCATCTTGGTCTTCAGACCATCGATGACATGCTTCGAGATGCCGAAGTCTCCGATCTTGAGGGACCACTCGCCATCAAGCAGAATATTCTGGCATCCCCCATTCCATCAGTAAAAGTAAAACGATCATGTGGTCAGGCTGCATACCTTGGGCCTTAGGTCGCGATGAGTGAACCCTGCCTTGTGAAGAGCACGCAGGCCCTCAATCAGCTGTCCTACCGGTCTTTGCAGAGGCACTCCTGGCCGGCGCTGGTTCCAGGTAATCTCCCTGGCGTTATATCCGCTACCTTGTTGAAGATAGGTCTCCAGATCGCACTGTAATAATTGCATGGCGATGAAGAAGTGGCCGTGCGAGAATTTCCACCCGTAGAATTGGGCGAAGTGGTTTTTGATCAACGGAAGCTTAGGCATGTAAGTTCCTCGCTTCTTAGATGTGTTATGAAAGGAGGAGCATGTGCCACCCACCTTTGACAATTGCCCCAGTATGGTAAGTTCCTTAAGCATCTGCAGGTAACGAACGCGGAAGTTCAGGCTGGATACGACCTTGACTGCGAATGCTGTAGGCAGTACATCATGGGATTGCGTTCTCCGGGCAGCAAAGACCGCCACACTCCCACCGCCATTCCCCAATTGCCTCTGCAATTCGACCTGCATGATATCAATCGACAGCCTTCTAACTATTGGAGAATTAGCTAGCCCACGATACAATGTTTTGGGTTGCTTGTGCGTCGGATACCTTGCATGGACTCGGAAGCAGCTATCACGAACGCCACCCTTTCCACGTTGAGAGCAGTGATTCGACGGTAGCGCGACGACGGGCTCTGTACTCGCTTCCTCACAGTATTGACCCCTTCCACAAGTCTCATGTACCCCGAAACACTCTTTTCAAGGCCTTCGAGGCCTAGCCAATTGCAGAGAGCGTCGGAAAAGAACGGCAAGTCGTCAGGGTATGCTGACGAAAGGACCAACGTCGCGGTAGTCAAACCTACCCCCTGGAGTTGTTTGATCATTTCGATGGCACATGGAATGTTTTTGTTCTTGGCATAGATCTCGAAGGCTTCGCACGTCGATTCCATCACCTTCCCGCGCCAGTTTCGCCTCATTTTAGCAATATTGGAAGCTGCTGCCACAGGGATACGTCTGTGAGATCGCGTCACGAGTCTATGGCCAGCCGAGCTATGAAAGTATGAGAACCGAAGCCACAAAGGTTCAGAAACATAATAGAAGTAGAAAGAAATCGAACTTACTACATCCATTTGGCCAGGCGAATCAATTCACAGTGCTCGAGGTATTTAGGATCGCGCGAAGCGCATGCTGCGGGCATCGTCTTGAAGCGAAACGTGTCTAGGTCCCGCATCGGATTTGGAATGTGATGACAGTATACTCCAAGAAATGCTTGGAACTCATCACTGGTGATAGCGTCAAAGCTGGGTCGCCTATTCAATAGCTCCAAAGATCTAGCAACTTCCAGATTTGACATCTTGAGTTTAGTCCCGCATCCTGCGTACACAAAGGTTAGTATCTGCGGGATGTAGTGATAATAACTGAGAAGGCCTTGACCTGAACACGAGTCCGATGTGAAGAGACCTCGAAATGGACTGAAAATACTGACCAGATAGCTCTATTCGTTTACTTGGCGGTGTGGGGTGGTCTGCTTGACAATGGAATCTACTGCGGGAGATATCATAGTGCGGGGTGAGAGCCTCGTTTATATCTCTGGAGGAGGACTAGCGTTGGTCATGTATCAAAGTCATTGCGTACAGTTGGAGCAAGAACTGGGCGCCGAGCATGTATACAATTTAGCACAGCTTGGCGCACCGCGAGCCTACCAATCCTCGTCGTCGACATGTTCCGCCTCCTTGCCTACATAGTAATAGTTGCTGCCTTCTTCCGCTAGATGCCTCGCTTGGGATCTTGGTAAACCCTTCAATGAGTAGACTGAGCTGTTGGATCTTCTTTGCACTTTCTCAATTCCTGATTTAAGCCCTTTTGGTTGTTTCATTCGTTCAATGCTCCCCTTAACTACCCTATCAAGGAAACATTTCGTGTACTTGATTATTTATCTGGTTGATCCCTTGATCAACTAGTCATCCAAGCCATTCTTTGAAAGGTACATTCATTTACGGAAACTTGACAAGAAACCCTGGCCCGCCTGCAGCTGTCATCTCACAATTTCCTCGACTTCCTGTAGCTTTTCAGTGCACACTCGGCGTCCGACCTCTTCTCCGGATCGATGCAAAGCAGCTTTTGCAACAAGCCTGCCTCTGGGCTCGGAAATTCTTCCCAATCCTTCTCAGCTAAGCCTTTGACTTTGTTCTCAGCTTCTCTTTTCGTCTCATCGTCGTGCTCTAAGATTTGTTCCCCCTTGATCATCCTATATACGACACATCCCAGCGACCAGAGATCCGCCTTCGAAGTATAGTTGCCGTGGAATTTGCTTCCGGATAGGAGAACTTCAGGCGCTGTGTACCCAGTTGTGCCGGTATTCGTAGCCATTGTGGTTTGCACGCGATCACGGGCCTGTTTGGAGACGCCGAAATCCGCGATCTTCACATTGTTCTCACAGTCGAGCAGTATATTCTTATCAGTAATGAAGCGCGTTAGCTTAGTCACTGAATTTCAGAGTAAATCCTTACGAGAAGCAAGTATTCTACTCACCCGTGGTTTGAGATCCCGGTGCGTGATTCCCTCAGCATGTAAGGCACACAAGCCCTCTAGTAACTGTACCAGCGGGCTCTGAATTTTCTGTTTCTCCGTATTCTCCCATTTTTGGACTGCTTTCATCCAACTCATGGGCCTTTTCCTTCGCGTCAGTAGGTCCTCCAGATCTTTGCACATCAGCTGCATAGCGATGTGGATATGGCCGTTCCAAAAAGACCAACCGTAATATGCAACAACATGGCTCTGGGGTAGGCGAGGAGTTAGATCATGCGGTCTTGGTAGCAGAATTGACGGGCATTACCTTCTGCATGTTCTTGGTGGCTAGAATTCGAATCTCACTCAGATATTTGACGGCAACGCTTTCAAACTCTGAAAAGCTTTTCACGGCAAAAGTTGCGGGGAGCGGCTTGTGTTCCGAGCGTCTTGAAAACCTGCGAACGAGTTTGCTACCGGCACTCGCTATTTCTTCCTTCTCGTCATTTTCAGTGACCAGGCCGTCAATGTAGGTGTCTGTTTGCGTTACTAAGATATTCTGAGGTTGCCGTTTTGCGCCTAAGGATACCTTTCAGGACACTCCAGTGGTCCAACACATACGCTACCTTCTCGACATCTTGAAAGGAAGATCTGTACCCTGGATCGTGAACGTTCCCCACTACTGAATGACAGCTAGACTGGAAAAGGGCGTACTTCCGAGCGCACTCTCCCTTTCCCCACTTGTCTTTGTCGGCCACGGGATCGTTCAACTCCCTGGCGATGCAATTTTGCAGTTCCGGTGAGTAGAATGGCACCTGGTTTGGGTACTTCGCAGAAAGAACCAAGGTGGCAAACTCGAATTTACAATCGAGTCCCTTGCTCTCGTTGAGTAGCTCTTGGAGCTTAGATACGGCGAAGGCATGTTCGTTCGCGCCGAACCATCTGAAGGCTTCCTCGACAGCTGCCTCAGTGGTTGTGGGGGAGGATGACCTTAGGCACTGGTGGTGGAATTCGCAGTCACGTCGCTGATCACTATGACAGCGTTTACTACAGATCGGTCAACGAGCCATCTGGGCCAAGCATTCAACACAGTACGGCGGGGGCTTCATACTAGAACCAGTGACTCAGATGGACGATGATTTGATGCAGTCTAATTCGAGATTCCTCTTCCTCTTCATCTTCTTCCTGACTTCGGTCTTCTTCAAGGGGAGCCATACCCCGGAAACGCAACTCGTCGAGGGATTCCAGTCCAGTCGCAACCCAGTCGCAACGAATTTCGGATACAAGTTGAGTAGCTTCCTGAATTCATTGACACTGAGCTTCGAGAGGATTGTATTCTCACCCATAACCCCGTACCGAATCCAAACTTCTATACTGGACATGTTCGACATGATAGCGACAAGGAGAAGTCGTGTTGGTCACGTTGCAAGGTTTGCAAACACCGAGGTCGAGTGGCATGCGAGCCTGGCTGGTTCGACAACAAAAGAAACTGGCAGACAAGTATATATAGTTCTCCAAAGGCACGGGAGTTCCCTCGACCGCGACGACAGCCAGCGGCGAAGGTCGTGCCACATTCAAACCGGTAGGCTCTGTTTCCCGACAATCTATGCCCAGCGGCCACGCTCACTCTCCCATGGACTACATACACAGGATCACTTCACGGGAAGGCTATTCGGGACCAAACCTCCAAGTATCGAGGGTGCTGCAGGCTGGGCTGCAAGCTGAGATACTAGACCACTTAGCATCATTTGTGAGGCTCCCTCTACGTTGAACTTCATGTACGTTTACATATATTGAATGTGAGTGGTACCACTGCATAGGTGCCCAATGCCTCGCGAAGGTGCCTTATCCGGTTTCCCGCTGAATCCGGTATACTTCTTACCTACCCATGTGGTGACACTGCATGAGGGTTCAGGGCTCTGGTGACCTTCATGCCGAAAGATAAATACCGCGCCCACTGCGCCCAATCTGGCTTTCCGTTGTAACGCCACAAACGTCGGCTGGTGACCGTCTCCGCGTTCCAAACATCGACCAAAATCGTCCAAGATACGTCAACGCTCACAATGGAAGCCACCGGGCTGGCCTTTTCGGTGTACAAGGACGTGTACTACCTGGCCAAAGGCATATACCGACTGGGAATGTCCGCACAGCACTATAGAGAGGAGAATCACCAGCTGCTCATCAAGTTCCGCTCCCAATGTCTATACTTGCGAACGTTCAAGTATTTCTTCATCTCCATCTTACGAGAGGAAACTTCAGAGGCATTGTCTGAGATCGAAGTACGTATTATCCCTGGGCTACACAGCTGCTCCAGCATGGAACACGCAGCCTTATGTGCTTATCTAGCCTATGTGGACACAAATTTGACAACCCATACATAGGAGCTCCTGGTGACCCAGGTGAACGACATTATCAGCTGCATCGGACAAGCCCTCGCGCGCTACCATGACCTTGTCCACACAGAAGACGAGGAGTACCGTAAGCAAAGTGACTTTTCGACCAGGGAAACGCCCACTCGCGAAGCGTTGCTGTCAACCAACTTGGGCGACATACTTCCCCCTCCACTTCTGCTTCAGCCCGGATCCTCGCCAATGGCCTTAAAAGACCAGCCCATCTTCAGTCTCAGGGCCTGGAAATGGGCGTTGTTCAAACGTTCCACGCTTCAGAAGGCCACTGACAGCTTTCGGGAGTGGAATAACGAGCTGAGAATACTCGAACCCATGATCGTTAGGGTTTTTTTCGCCAGTAACGATGCGCGGCGAGCTTTTGAGTCTGCGATCAAAAGCGATCCGCACTCAGATCAGGAAGCATTCGTCCCCCATGTCAAGATTTCGCTGCTGATAGGGGATGCCGCTTTGCCTACCGTTCCAGCTGACTCCGATCTGCCGTCGGTGGGTACGCTGCCTGCTGAGGTGTCTCCTCGGAGGCGACTGGAAGAGAAGGGTTATCCTCAGTCCGGAGAGGAGGCCACCAGAGCCAAGGACGCCCTGCTCCAACTAGCGGCTCTATTGGGAGCGGCCGGTGCGCACGATTTCCATACGCTTCCTCTGCAGAGCTGTGTGGACGACCCATGCGGGCATCAATTCATCTTCTCGTTCGGGTTTCCAGATGGGGCATCTGATCGAGAACCAGTCAGCCTGCAGACAATCCTTTCGAAGAAGTTGGGCGCCCCGTCTCTGTCCGAGCGCTTCCACATTGCCCAGACCATCACCCGCACCATCGCGGCATTTCATGCCAACGGTTGGCTTCACAAGGAGATTAGCAGCAGATCGATACTCTTCTTCTTCGATGAGAGCGGCCGCTGCATGTACCTTCGGCCGTATCTCGTAAACTTTGAGTACTCGCGGCCCGACACGGCCGAGACCAACATGACAGCCGACGATGACCTCGCCCGGAACGTGTATCGCCACCCAGATCGCCAGGGGTCGCGGCCGAATGTCCGTTTCAATAAGACGCACGATTTGTACTCTCTGGGGGTGGTTCTCCTGGAGATTGGCGTATGGCAAACCGCCTTGTCGATGAGGAACGCACGGTTAAAGCAGGAAGGAATTCTTTCTAGCCGTAATGTCGGGCCCATGCAGGATATCTTCAAAACCAAGACTAAGGAGCGGCTGGGACATACCATGGGACCTGCGTACCAGAAAGCCGTGGAGCATTGCCTGGACGGGGCGTTTGAAGCGTTCTTGCACAGGGACAGCATCTTCGCCTTGCAGTTCCAGAGTAAGGTGATCAAAAATGTGAACCCGGATCGGGTCAGGCAGGTGGAGGAGGAAAGAGACTGAAGGAGGAAACAGACCAGAGGAGCGCAGGGGGGAGTCGACATGGGTAATCGTAGCATTGCCTTAGCGGATGCTACAGTGAGTGCCAGATTGTGAACAGGGTCGGGTCTACAATCGTAACGAGGTTACGTTGGAAGAAGTACAGAATGGGGCAGACGACAGTTTGATGCAGGAGTTGTGACGATACACGCGAATTGCATCAAGTTCTCGTATCCGTACCACTCACAGAGCAGTGAAGAGCATGTTATGCTTGGCCCGAGAGCCTACATTTTTCGGTGAGCGAGCCATCGAGATGGAGTCCTTCTTGGCGAGCTGAAAGAGACAGCCATATTGCCATCGTCCTATTGGATCGCTGGCCTCGGTATGCATATGCAGATGCAAATATTTACGAGACTGGCAACATGTTGGATCTGAATCACACCTTGTGCTGCAGACAATTTCCGAGGCCAGCTCGAAACGTTCGGCTTCCCCTTCTTGATAAATTTCCAACCACACCACCGACGGGGAGGGAACCTTGGAGGCTTTCATGAGAATGATTTGCATACCCTGAACACGTGTCTGGTTAAACACGGCCCGCGCTTCTACGGGCTCAAGCCGTCATGTTCGTGTCATCGCCACATATGGTTTGGAGATAAGGCAGGCTAGCTAAATGAATTCAGCCGAGTTCTTCGATATCAAGGTGGGCGAAAAGCCAATACGCGTCTTGATATTTGGAGAGCCAGAAGGGAAAGAAGCTGAACTTGAACCGCTAAAAGCAGTCCTTCTGGTGCAGAGGAATTCTAGAGGTGCTGATATAGAAAACCCAGTAAGAAAGTCTCACTCGGAGTGGTCAAGGGGCGTGCTGCACTTAGATTGGATACCTGGAATATCACAGTTTAAGCCACTACGTTGACGCAAGCAAGTCACAATCTCACGCAGTTTGCAACGAACAGAGCTGTCATAAACACGTTTGAATAATAATGTTGTTGTCATGATGATGAAAAAGGAAAAACCCCCCTAATGCCCGCCTCACTAATACAATCATGTCGACCCCCTCCATCCCTCTCCTTCAATCTTTCCAAGCCAGCCGACGCCGACCAGACTGTTGGCTTTCCATCCTGGTATCAAAAAAGGATCTTTTCTCGTTGCTCCCCCCTCGCCTGCCTGATTCTACAATCCCGATTTGGACCAGTAATGGTATCTATGAATGAACACCTCGCCTTTCTTCCGACGTATGCATGACAGTAATGAAATGTTTGTGTGTGTATGTGTGTGTGTGTGTATCCCCAACGCTTCCTCCAATTTGTTTACTGAATCTTGATCGCCTCAAATAACGTGAGACTGAGAGCCGTGTCGTTCTCTCCAACGTTGGGAGTGGGCTCGCTGAGCATCTCCCATTTGCGGTAGATGAACGGCGTTAATTTATCGGTGCCTTGCATCGAGATCGGCATCTTGATTCTCTGCGGCCCGTTTGGTTGTGTAGTAGATTGCTGCCTATGAGCAAGCACGAATTGCTCCGTCGTTGGAGGCATGTGACTGAATAGGTATCGGAGACGGGCATCTGAGGATGCTGGGTTCTGCATGGTGCCGCCTGTAAGCAAGACTCGTACACACTGCAGGCGTATGTCGTCTGGCAAAGTATCAACTAGTAGTAGGGCCAGATCGAAAACCTGCTGGCTGAGCGGTCGGCCATTTTGAGCGTCCTGGAATGCTAAATTGTCCAATTCGAGAGTAAGACCAGACAGAACAATCAGGATTCTCGCGCGAATCTCGAAAACAGCAGCATTGGCGGGCGGCTTCATGTTGTTGGCGGCCTGGGGTTGAGTCGCTACCGGCGCAGGTTCGTTTGCAGTCGTGTGGAGCGTGATGAACCGCAACAAGGCGGGAAGCCAGTAGCGGATAATTGAGGCGCGCAGGTCTCTCTTGTTGATGTCGTCGGTTGCCAGGACTTCCCACAGCTCTGCAAGCTTCTCAACCATGCCCGAAGTAAGCTGTGATGTTCGGACAGGCGGACGACCTCTCAGGATCGCCTCGACTACTGAAAGCAGACTTCCTGCGAGCTGAGTGCTTTCCTGAGAAAGAGGATCCGCAGCAGGTGGGTTCTTGTTTGACGGGAAGAGACCCAGGAAACGCAGATGAGCCTGCTTCTTAAGATGCTCCGTTATGTCCTCGCTCAGGTAGGGTAGCATGCTAGTCCACATGACGTTGTTGGCTGACACAGCGCGGTCCATCGCCCTCGAAAACATGTCGAACTGCGTGAGAGCCTGTTCCCCTCCTCCCGGGCTTGTCGTGCTATCCGCCGCGAGGCCAACCGAAAGCTTGAGCTGGCAGAATGGGAGAGTAAACTCGTTTGCCAATTCCAGGACCGTCTCAAACGTCAGTGGTGAATCATCGCCAGCATCCGGTAGTAGGAGTTTGGTCGTGACCTGTGCAAACAGACTTGTCAATGCAGTCTCT